TGGTAGAGATAAATGGAAAAGATGAATGACAAGTGCTGTGCAACAGCAAGCTGATCAAATCTGTATGAGAATTTTTGAAAGAAAAACAGCTGACTTTCAGTAGCATGTATGCTAAAAAATAGACTGGTGCAGCAGACAGATAGAATAGTTAGATATTAGGGAGGAAATTCGAGAAAAGAATTGAAAAGCTCTATTTGATTGGCGTTCCACTAGGCACACCATCTGCCGTGTAAATTTCGTATAAATTCTGTCCCATTAGGCCAGCCAGGCGCCATATTCCAAGAGATAGGCCCTCAGATGATTTAATAGGTGCAACTTCAGAGGTGGTAATAGAATGGGAGGAGTCAGAAGTCTCGCGCCAAATAACTAAACCGATGCCATCCTTTACAGATACTCGGAGTCGGCCAGCAATATCCTCCCAGGTCTTCAATTTGAGAGAGGCACATGGTGCACCAGGGGTGAAGTCAGAGTGGCTGATATTGAACGGGAAGAAAGCGACTCGAAGGCCTGGTTGGTGCAACCTTTCGGGGACCAGCAGAGGAGAAACGCGGGCCTCACCGTCCGGAAGAGTGTAAGAGGTGGCCAGGAGCATAGCCTAAAGTGGGAAGACGAAAAGTGGCGTCAATAAGGAGTATGTGGATAAAAAAGACAGTATCTGGTGATAGGTAATGTGCTATGGTTCAAATAAAATAGAAATCCATAACAAAATGGATGCAAAGGTTTTAAACGATGCTAATTTAATATGATAATAAAATTGCATTCATATCTACGAGCTAATTAGTGTATATGCGACCAAGATGGTGTGGCCTCTTGCTTGGTTGCTATCTCCCTTAACTGTATAGGAAAGATGACAAAAAATAGTGTAAATAAGAAAATGGATTTGTTACCCGAGTTAACCACCATATAAATTAAGTTTTGAGAGAATAAGATGCAACAATAGAATCTAAGCAACGAATATGGACGAGGAGCGATGCTATAACGGCTGAACAGCACATTGGTCAAAGGGATTGCCTTCACTTGCCACTGATAAGCTCTAACTTTGTGCTCAGGACGGCGTCTCTCGCTAACAGTAAAGGCGATACGTCTAAGAATGTGTCAAATCAAAGTTACGATGTTGGAAATTATCATGAATAGGACTAGATACGTTGCTCCGAGCAAGTCGCGAAGTCCATATCAAGCCCAAACTGCGAAGTTATAAGTTGTTTAAAAGCTATGAGTAAAAATTTTATTTCGAAAAATTCCTTAGTGATATATTGTGTATGACCCTCCATTTCGAAGGTAAAATTGGTTAGAAAGAATTCGTGATGTGGCTTCAGCGGAAACCAAAGGAGGATTTCCGCGTAGGGAAGACTGTTGAATTGTGCGAAGAAGTCCTGCGACAACGATAAAAATGAGCTAAGCTTTCATCTGTACTGTGACAGACATGACCAGAGCAAGAATCGATACTTTACAAAACAGAGCAAAAATATACTAAACCAAGAGAAAAGGTGACTAACTGCAACCCGAGTAGCTTTTTATATACTGAAATTCGTGATCTTAATTAGACATCCCATGATTTGAAGAAATGAAGATCAAGATGGTGTGGCGCCCGGTATGATCACAGTCTCCTTTCGATTGGAAAGCAACAGTAAGAAGGTCCTCATACGGTGAAAACACAGGGAAGCGTAAAGGATTAGGGAGGTCATTGACATTCTTGGGGAGAAAAATCTAAT